CCATAGTATAGGGATTTAGCATGACAGTGAATAGTCAGGAGAACGCTTTTTACGGCCGCTCCCACTGAAGTTTGTAACTCAATGAAGGATCACGATTCTTCTTCGCTTCGATATCACTTTTGGCAAGGCTTATTCGACCGCTAATGATCTTAGATCCTCATATAATGAAATATATGTATCCGCTTCATTGATAACGCATTTAATCATTTGCCTACGTGACTTTTGCTCGGACGCAACGGGCATACAAACGGACACACAAAGTTAGCGGTTTATATATATCATGGATTTCATGTACGTAGGTACATTTGCTAAGTGTCTGATGGTTTGTCGGTGTGTGTGCTTGATCGAAAATTCATAACCGCTGCATTTCTGGACTTAGAGTTTTCAAATTCAGAAGAAATACTGGCGGTGGCGAGATGAGACATTGTTAGTATTCGATAAGAAGATCGAGAGGGGCTGATAATGTGTCAGCGAAGAAGTGAGCCACAAGATCTGTTACGCGCTTCGTGCTAATATCGACACTTCAGCGCGTATGTAAGAACCACAGCCGGGAACGTGGAAATGGTGAAAGGAAATGATAATAAAAGGATAAGGGCTGTTAAGTGGCACAGAAGACAGGAGCCATCGAGTTGCAACGTCCTTCGTGTTACCAGTGGAACCTTGACACTTTGATGGGTAGTGTGGTATGTGATGATGGGATCGTAGGTTTTGGTGACAGGAACTGATAACAACAGATATCTGATATATAATGCAACTTCAAAGTGTGATATAGACTGTGACCATAAAATACAAAACGGACTAAAGAGAACAGTCGGATCGCACGGCTGACGCCGGGTTCTCTTCCTCCTCGTGTTGACATGCCGCCTGCATTTTTCCAAATTTAATACTTTGGTCCGTCCAAGAAAACAGGAGCTATCGAATTACAGCTAAATATAGCGACACATCGACACACTTCGTGCGTTGGATTCAGTCCCTCATATCCCGACCTGAGTGTTTCCACTCGAAGTACGCCCACTACACGCATGGTCCGCACACCCCAGGCCTCGACTTCATTTACTTTCAGATAGCCACCATCGGCGTCTTAAATCTGCCACCTGATTGGGCTACAAAAAACTACAAAAAATTATATAAAAAGTTCCCGGAATTTGTGTATGCAACCTTAAATGATTGCAGAAACGTTTAGGTTGTGACCTATCGGTCTGAGAGAGATGAAAGTGATTAGGGAGTATGGTAAAAACACACAGACGTTTATGATTTAACAAGGGAAGGATCCCAAGTCGAAGTGGCTACTTGATATGATACTTGTAGTGACAAGTGTGCTTGTGGGCGCTTTTCTGGGATCAGCCTTCCATATTTGCCGAACGATCTTTAAACTGAGTTATGGTGAATCTAGGCGAGCGCTTACATCAACGAACATGGCTGATTTAGTCGCAGTCGTGAGATATTTTGATGTTTAATGTAGGTCATTTGCTAGAAAAACAATTCGAGTCGCCAGTTCTCTCTCTGCTCTCTCGGCTGGTCTTTGTAACCATTCAATGTTTCGCAGCTATGCCTTGCCTCTCCGTTGATGGCCACGAGATTAAAGCTCGTCGTGAAGATGAACTCTGCAAAAGAAGTTTTCTGAAGACCCAGGTTTCTCGAGCTAGCTTTCATAGGAAGTTACTGGCGAGTTTAAAGGAATGTCCATGTGTGGAATATGAGTGCCGATGGAATAGGAATCATACGATAAGTAAGCAGTTGATTCTAGACTGGATGGATTGTGTATAGCTGGATTCATTCACAAGGATTTTGAGGAGGGTTTGTTTAAACGTTTCAGAGACCATGAATCTATCCAGTCCGCTGAATTCACACAAGCAATAAAATTGATTTACATCCCATATGATACCGAGAGGCTGATACAGGCCGCTATTCATATATATAGGTGGGTTCGAGGCACCACTTTATGAAGCTCATGATCACCACCTTGCGTATACAGGGCGACCCAAATGAAGTGTGACGCAGAAAACTAGCACCAAAATTACACAAATCATACCAAATAGGAAATATTTACTCCCTACAATCATCACAAAATTCTAAACAACATATCACATTTCGCATGCAGAATGACCATCGTTCGCTTTAATGCAAGCATCCGACCTCTTTCGGAAGTTTTCAAGAATGCGCGCAACCACTTTCATCCCACGCTTCTACCAGAGGGCTTTTTTTAGGGGGTCCAAAGACCTGTGTTTGAAAGCGCAGGCTTTATGCTCTAGAATCGTCCATACTACAAAATCTAAAGAACTGAGATTGGGGAATTTGAAGGTCAAACCTGCTTCGCCCCAAAACTCCGGAAGCGTGGGTTCACAACTTTGCAGCATCTTCTTTGCGCTGTGGCTGGTGCCCAATCCTGCGGAAGGTTCAGCTGACGTTTATCGCCTTCCTTTCCGCCCAAGGGATCACCGCGTCCTCCAGCTCAGAAGCCCATACGTTGATTTTTTATTGCCCGTCACAATTCCTGTGGGTCACCCTGTACATACGCTACTTCACCTACTTACTTACTAGTCTAGTTCGATCTATTTCGAATTCTGGGCAGTTTTTGGGCGATATTCTTACTGAGAAACTTTCGTTACAAACGTTTCGTGCTAGAATATCACACCTGTTCATGAAGTGATGCAAATTATCCGACTGTAAATACACGGTGTATGAAGGAGAAAAGAAAATGCACTCAGATCGAATGGTTTAGGTACGAACCGAATCATCTCAAACCCAAAAAATATCGTTGACGGCGATGAAAATCATTAAGCGTAGGTTTTTTAAACCTCAAAGAAAAAGCTCTGCAGAATACGTAAGGCTCGATCATCACAACAAAAGGCGAACGGTGGTCTCAGGTATATGACAGCGTAATGTTTATTACTGCTACAAACCAAGTGGCCAATCCGCCTTGGGATTCTTTCATGTGATATAGAGGAAGGAATGGGGCGATACTAAGTAAAGATGGGGCCCGTGGAAAATGAAGAGAATTGAAACCGTAAGTAACGAAGAAGAGGCATTTTTTGTAACTATGGATTCCGTTCAACGAAACGGATTTGACAGAAACTATTAAGTTTTGCTAAGTAACACGAACTTGGATATGGGACTTTGTTAGGTGACCAGTATCTTGGGTATCCATCACATCATTTCACTAGCGGATCAACCATTTTGGATTAATACCAAGATGGCCCTTATGGGTTTCGCACGGGCATGACAGAGAAACATGATTTCTGGTTGTCCGTTTTGAAAGATGAAAAGAAAGGATTGAACGACAACAAAATTCAAGTTTAGTGGCATACCTACTCAAACCTTCGAATGGTTTTTTAAAAGATTAGCAGAAGATGCTACTTAGAAAAAGAGAACTAGAGATATTTCTGAATTTCAGATGTCGACTAACGCCAAAATGCAAAAAAAAACGTTTCTTATTAAAGAAAATGAAAGTGCCTGAAATCGCGCACTGCAGTGTAGTACGCAGCTGGGCACTGTCTAAGTGCCCAGCTGTGCTGTGCACTACACTAGGCACTTACACATTTCTGCAGAGTAACTCGAAAAAGAAATTTTCCAGCCAACAGATAGAGCAGAGGATCCATAAAGAAGCCTACCTAACAACTCAAACTCAAATGAGTGCGGTTGGGAAGTGAATAAAGCTTATTTGACTTACCGCTTGTTTCAGGAGTAGGCAAGAGAGATCGAGAGTTTTCACTGGAAGGCACTAATAAGTCAAAGTACAGTTAGTAGGGCTATCATAAACACAACGTAAAGAAACATTTGAAAACGTACTCGAAACTTTTCATTGCAGTGAGAGAACTTTCAAGGTCTTCCTCTGGGCCAATATCTTCAATTGAAAAACCGTCCTTTATAAACGTGCTCGAACAACTTTTTTCGACCTCGATATCTGCATAAATATGAGTAGAGGAGAAGACGGCGAAGGATCTAACCAGATTGTAAGCATACCATTTCCATCATTCACACTTTGTCTTGAAGGTACTTCTCCGCAACCATGTGGAGTAAGTCGTAAACTGAAAAAAAGCGCTCATCTGCGCCCTACGCCATATTCTGAACTGTCACCAAACTAGGGTCCATGAAAAATTTTATTCGAGATCGACTTGGTCCATAAATATTTCAGGCATACGGATTGTGTAAGCGAATAAACACGTTTTGTTGAAGAATGGATCTCTTCACGAGTTGCATGATAAGCAATGAAGGACGCCAGTATTGGAAAACCAACTTTTCCACAGAGAAGTCGTCTATTTGAGGAGTACAACCTTCGTGTAGCTTTTGTTTCCTGAGGTACGGCAAGAGACCAAATCCACGACCTTAAATCCGACAGTTTTAATTCGTCAACACATATAACAGCGTAAATTGTGAAATCAACATAAAGATACAACGATTTCGGAAACCAGCACGCGCAAGCACTAAAAATTGTGACACGCCGATATGAACTATGTACCAAACAACCTGCACAGTTCACTCTGCGGTTCACTGATAAATTTCTTTTTCACGGAAATTACAGTCAAAGCCGAGATAGCTAAATGCCAAGAAAGGTACAGTGGTGGCTCAGTCACTACCACTGGAGCTAGATTACCACCGTGGGTAATCGAAACATGGCTGAAGTGCCTAAAATTTCAGAAGTGTTGAAAAAATCAGCGCGCATTTGGCCACATACATAGTTTGTTAACTTCAACACAGTATTCACAGCAAATCTGCAGTCCTGCTCACCAAGTTACCNAAAACTTCACAGAGTGGCCCAATTTCTTACCTAAAAAGTTGCGTTCATACGGATATAGTCAAAGGAATTACACAAAGCGCAGAAGCGTCCGCAGGGTCGCCGAAGGATTATTCGACTTTTAGTTTTCAAAAGGCTGCTGTTCTATTGGGAAGAAAAGCGCGGCACGAATAAAGAAATGCCGTGTTTCCCGTCGCCTTTTCGGACAAGGAATTCTACGCCATTCAGGTGGAGTTTGACACCTAAAACGACAGCATATCAGCCACGACTTGCGGGAAGGGTAGCGACAGAGGAAGGATTTCCTCGCAGGCCTCACACGGAGTAAAAATTGCGGTTTAGGTCAGTTCATCAGCGGCGATACAGCCCCTCGACTTCGGTCTGGGCGTCGATTATCAGGAAACCACTTCCTTGGATCACCAAGCATTACGACAAACAAGAGTTGAAATTCTACCCGGATAGCCATACCTAAACAAGGCAACGATTGTCCTGCACTAGTTCCGCGACACTCGCCTTTCTATTTTAGATCTGAGAAACCCTTCTTCTTTTTCGGGCCTGAACCTCCACACTGGGCCGTACAGGGGTAGGCACCAGGCAATTACGGGTACTTGGAGAAGAACCGGACAAAGCCGGCGTCAATAACCTGCGTCGTACGATCGAACTTTTCTAGTGGGACTGATGCCCATAGCCAACCAAGGTGAACATATGGATTACTGTAATCATAAGCTGTTCAGTACTACAGTGTCACGTTACTACCCTATTGAATTTAGCCACTCTTTCAGCGAAAACTGCACTAACTTTACAGCCACCTACTTCACTCCTCTCATCTGAACTATCGTAAGCGCACGATCGTTAATCCTAACCATAGTAATGTTTAGAGTGAACAACACGAATTAGAGAGAGACGGTGTCGTAAGGCGAGGATGACACTGCTACCATACGCTTGGTCGGGTGATGGAAACCACACAAACCAATGAAAATTAGATGCGTAATATGTTGATTGGTATCAGACTTGAAAAGGGAATTGTTCAGACAACTCCACAAGCAATAGCACCCTGCAAGAAAATGCGGGACGATCCCAGTGACATGGATTACGCCGACCGCCCACCAGCCCTCGAAATATGTGTCATTCAAACCCCCTTACCACTCTAATTGGTAGTCGAGAACAGGAACAGGGTTGATCTAAAGCAAAGTCATGACCCTTAATCAGAGGAATTTGAGATCACTTGTCAGTAAGATTACTTCCAAACTATATAGGCATTAGCTCTGCTTATGTTACTTACTTTCTAGTAAAACTCACTTGAAGCCGGCTTGTCACGCAAATCATCGTCACTGCCAACACTTTCACCCACAAGGACGCATTGTAAAGGATCCACTTGGTCCACTAATGGCTGCAGAACTGAAACATCCAAAAGATTGGAAAATATTAACAGTACACTAGTACATAAGAAGTGATTTCCTAACTTTTTCCCGATTTCAATTAAGGTTTTGATTGACTGCTTTCATACTTCGACGTACGTGCCGGCACGCAGGTGGAATCGCAGGTACAATCTTGACGCCGATGGATCACGTGCGAGTGCTCACGCACTTGGATAGCGCCGCCGTCGCATACCCGCTCGAACCCCGCACGCAAGCTTGTACTTGCGATTCCACCTGCGTGCCGGCACGCACGTCGAAGTATGAAAGCAGCCATTACGTGAATAGCAACCTAGTGTTTCTAGAAAGAACTGCACAAGTGCTATCAGATTGAGAAACAAGAGACCTTTTTAGAAGTAACATTCAGACCTGTTCTTCCTACTTTGACGTACCTTCGGAGACCTGGACTCTACGAAAGCAGGATGAGCATGCTGTCAGTGTTACCCAACGCGCTTTGGAAGGGGCGATGCTCGGAGTCAACGTGATGAACGACCTCGCTCCGGAGCTGAGCAGACGGAAACGCGGAGCGTGGGAAGCGTTTGAGAACATCTCCGGGTTCACCTTTTCAATAACGCGGTCCTTCCTGTTTTGACATACGCCTCAGAGACCTAGACTTTACGAAAGCAGGATGAGCATGCAGTTAGCATCATTCAACGCGCTGCGGGCGAACGAAGATCAGAGATGCCGTTGATTACGCCAATAAATCGAAGTTTAGGTGGGCCAGACACGTTATGCGATATAGTGTTGACCGTTGGACCAGATCGCTTACTGACAGGATCCCCCTTGACATCAAATGAATTGCAGGACGGCCGCCAACGAGGTGGTCCGACCTCCCCACGAGAGCTCTGAACGAAAAGAATGTTGAACCTCGTGCTCATGAAGCGAGGACGATTAACTGGACCACTCTGGCTCGTGACAGGGACAAATGGAGACGTTACTGGCGCCCGCTCGATAAAGTCGATGATCAACGGGACGACAGGTGATACAGGTGAACACTCAGAAGATGTCTGACAATGTGAAAGTTGGCAAAAAACGGAAAGCAGAAAGAAACGTGGCTCAACGAGCAAAAGGGGTGTGGTGCGATTCACGCGTCAATAAAACATCATTCCTACCATCATAACGGAAGAAATAAGAATTTATAAGTAGAATAAGTAAAGAAATGACCAACTATGCACGTTTACAGATGGATTGCGTTTACTAGAACCAAAAAATTTGAGGGTGTTCTTATTTTGAACGTTTGATAAGCAAATTGTTGACCTATGAGGCGAATCCTCAAGCTCGAAGGGGTTTTTTTTGCTATAGTAAAGAGATTTGCTCTATTCATGGTGAAACCGTGGACTACTGCAAATTTATTTGGTCCATCTCAACAGAAAGGTACTGAAACGATGCTGTCCCCCCGAGCAAAAGAGCAGTTTGGGCATGATCATAGAAATAAAACATCTGAGCTTAACCACTTCATGAGGCACTTAATTATACCTGAAGCCAACATAGAAAATGGAAGACAAAAATAGACTAACGTTCACAACTAGCCACCACGTTTCTGGAGTTTCCATCAACGCCCAAACCTGGACCCATGGCATCTGCAACATTTACAGAAAAGATCACTGAAGTGAATATATCGAATTTAGACAACACCAAAATAACAAAGTGAAATCACGCACAAAAACATCTCAGATCGCACTCAAGTTTACAAGGCAAACGCATCGTCGAGCAACTCAATCATTGAACCAAGAACTTGAAGAATTATAGCTGCTAGTTAAGAATTCGAGGGTGGCAAGTGCCGGAAAATGCTTGTACTCCACGATGACTTCTATGGCAACTGGATTCCAGAAGAGAAGCGCCGACATGTTCCTATGGTTGCGTTTCTTCGACCTTCAGATTCATCACCTAATCACCTCGGTAAATCGACCCACGGACTCCAAGAGATACGTTGCCATGCAGCCACCCTATGTTATATTGATATGGAAAGAGAAAAGCAGGAAAAATGAGGGCAGCGAATCATGCAAAAGGAGGAAGTGTTCTACCAACGCATAATCGATGACCAACTTTGTTACAACTATGGAGAGTCGCACAAATTACTAATTTTAACTAGAACTTCGATTCAGCTCAACAGTAATCTGATAGATGATCGAGAAGGCTGAGGAATCAATAACGGCTGGCCAAATAAGCCATGAAATTTCCAACACGCGCTCATTGAACTAACAGTTACAGTTAACAATGCCTAAGAAATCCCTTCCGTGTTATCCTGACAACACCACATTTATTTCAAGAAGTAATGAGATGAAATGGATCACATAAGAAGTTAGCCAAAGGAAATCAAGGCAACCGTTCGTCGGTACATAGCAGAACTACGTAGATTTCGCTTTCGCGCACTATGGGTAAGAGGTAGACTTTGCCGCGGCGCGAATGTTCGCCGTGGTACACGATCCTCTCCTAGATCGTGGTGTTTCCAAGAAAGGTTGTTTAGATTTGCGGCTTACTATGGTTGAAATTCATGGTTTCAATGGATCCCGCAGGAAATCTTGGTTTCACTTTTTGATGGAAATGTAGTTGAGAGTGGAGAGGCACCCTCTTCTCCAACGTGGGCGCCACAGCGCAGATAAGGAGGGGTAACCGACTGTGCGGGCCTGTACTGGTGTTTGGAAACATTTTTAGCCAGGGGAATGTAGTTTTTAACTAAGCCCTAGGAGGGAGGAGCACCAAGGTGTTCGACTCGTGCTAAAGCTGGGATGGGGAAAGAATAGAGCATTCAGTTGACTACTGATTCTTTTCCTTTCAAAAGAAGAATAGAGCATTCAGTTGACTACTGATTCTTTTCCTTTCAAAAGTGTAAGCGGCATTGTGCCAGCAAGCTATTCCTGCTTTAAGAGACGTGCCTGAAAAGACGGCAGCCCCTCCCCCATCCCCCCTATTCAGGATTACATTTCTTCGCCCGGTTGCCTCTCCCCTTCCGTCATGCCTGACACCATGACATACTTAGAGAGATGATTTCGAGGAGTGGGAGGTGCTCCCAAAGACGATGCCATTTTCTGCATCGCTAAGCTTGACAATGATCCTGCCCTGCCCCCCGCCCCTGCCTCACATGGTACCACTATACTTCCTAGTTCCTGTGGTGGAGTGAAGCGGTTTTCGGTGATCAAGTGGATCAAGTGGATCAAGAAACAAAAACTGACCGTAAGTACAACGACAGTGCAGGGCTGTCTTTAGGATGAAAGGTCACCACACTTGCAAATTTCGCAATTGAACGACTTTTACTGTCTATCGACCTATCGGAGCACTCTTATATACATTAGTTGCTAAGCGTGGATATCTGAATTTCGCAATCGTTTTGCAATTTCCAGTATCAACACTTTTTTATTCGTTATCGTCGTTGTTGTAAGAAAAAGAGAGGAAGAGGAAGAGAGAGAGAGGAAGAGGAAGAGGCTCAATAGATTCCATCGGGTTAAACATTCAAGTGTTGCTTTAGACGGTGAGCATCGGCAAGCGCAGATGGGAGGATCAGATAACGGTCATGACATTAGCCAAGTGCGAGGTACAAAAGCTTCGTGAAAACATATACGCTAAGCGAAAGTGTTAAAGGCACCGTTCGCGATGATTCAATGGGCGGGTGTGTCGATGACGTGTCCGCCTCTCATTCGACGCCACGTCTGACTGTCTGACGTGACATCGAATGAGAGGCGGACACGTCATCGACACACCCGCCTATTGAATCATCGCGAACGGTGCCTTTAAGTAGAAGTTTGAGGTTATTTTCAAAAGAACATGGTGGACAGTATACATTCTGTTTTCTTGGATGCTTTTCTTCACAAAATATCCTTTCAGTTGTTTTGATAAAAGCGTTAGCGCCCCATTGAGCACGTGCTGGGAAAAAGTCCAATCCACTAGTTTCGAAGAGGACGATGAATCAGATACGAATAAAATCTTTGTATGCTATACACAGTTCCTGCCTCAACAAAGATAGCCCTCTGACGGTATGTGTTATTTGTGCTGCTTGACCTTCTTACGAATATACAAGCTTGAAATTGTAAAATCCTGTGAGTTAGGAAATGGAGATTGTCAGAAAAGTGGAGCATTAGTTTCAATACATGTCTGGATTGGGGTATCGAAAAAAGTGTCAAATGAAGCCTTTCGGACGATGCTAAGAAGATGGCTGGCCTAAACCCCATGTTGTCGTATGGTTTGAGTCTGGCCCAGTAAAACTTATTTCCCATAGTCAACATCATCAAATGGTATGTGAACTTATGTAGAGGAACTGCGAATAGAAACATAGACTGCGCTCTCTGAAGTGCTGTCTATACCGAAGTTTGGTAGCCCCTGCATTCTCAGATGATAACAGAATGCACGGCCTATCCGTGAACATCAACAAGCTCAAGCTTTGTTCCGATTGGTGAGGGACAAATCGAAAAAACCATTCAATGACCTTGTCTGGCTCGAGGTTTCTTTTTCAAACCATGAGTTTAGGTGGTATCGTTGACCACTCCTGAAACTGTGAAAAATGAATACAGCCTCTGCTCGTCACGCTATTTTCTCCATAGCATCGCTTTGTTTCGAAAAATTATAAGTCAAGAAATAACTCTGGAGTAGACGGGAATTCTTTTCGGGTATTGCGATCACTATAGACAAGGCTGAAAAGAGACCAACAGAAATGAAGCGGCTGTCACACGATGATTTCATAAGAGTAACAAACTATACAGATGGCATCTGCACACCTATGCAGAGTTCAAACAGATAGCAACTACCTCTAGTGAGGTTTATCTGGTTTTCGAGTTGTTAGTTAGCTGGTACTAGAGTTAGTAAAGTGTAGACAGCCGCCCTTCCAAAGTGGTTATGGATACAGTATCGCCTTTACCAAAATAGGGAATTTTCTGGCAAACTATTTTAAGTGAACGCTACATTTTTTGAACACTACAACAACTGCCCTAGACATAACAACAGCAAATACCTGAATGAGTGATCTAATGCATGATGAAGTGGTGTAAGGAGTACGGCAAAGTCTATTTAACCAAATCGCATCATTCTTCTCAATGATGGGTAGCTTAAGTGAATCAACAACAAAGTTCTTTTGAACCATCTCGAACTGAAGTACATGACAAATGACAGTCATGTTTCTGCTTCAACAGCTAAGAAGAATTCTGATGTACTGTGCAAAGAAGGTGAAAATGTAATTGGAAGGAGAGGGAGATGGAGGAGGCGGGCACTGATTACATCTCACACTGTGCGCTTGAGCGCAGAGANGGGGGGGGGGTACTCGACCTTACTTGTGCTTTGTGCTTAGAAACTGTTCTCAGCCAAAGAAACACAGTTTTTACATGAGGCTTGAGAGGGAAAGAGCGGGTGACTTGGTTAATGCCAAAGCTAGGAGGGGTAGTACTGAACATCCCATTCACTCACCCACTCTCCTTCTTCCCTAAATCAAGGATAAGAAGCCATAATGATCGCTTTGCCCTGATGTTTTCTCAACTAATACTACTATTTTAGCTCATTATTCGATCCGAAAGTTTTTTTTTCTTGCTAAAAAACATTTCTAAGCTTAATTATGGGCTACCCCTTCTTCTCTACCCTCTGGCGTTCAATTTTGGAAAAAATAGTGTACCCCCAACTACATCTTCACACTAAGTTGTACCGTGGATTGCCGTAGGTTGTTTGAGTTTACGGCAACGGAATTGGCAAAGAAGAGATATTTGGATGAGCTGTCAGTTGGTGTGACTGCGTAAAATGCTGGTCAAAGTAGGTTGAAAACGTCAAAAATTGCCTTGCACTGGGCGTATTTGTAGTACTGACGGCACAGTTCATAGCATAAAAAGCTATTGAAAAGTAAGAAGGATATGTGTGATTGCAGGTTCCGAGTACGTTTTGTGATTACTCATGGTATTGCCAATGGAGTTTTTGGGCTTCGATTCAGTCTTACGCATCTGCATCCAAATTTTTGAATTTTGTCCTGNATTGTCCACGAAGAAACAGGGCGATTACTTTGGCTAAAGAGAGGGTAAGTGAATGCCGGTAGGATCTACTAGGATATATGTACAGCACAGTAACGGATTAGCTTCGTGTTTATGTACTTCTATAAAGCCAGCATCATACTCTCACTAGCGAAGCACATCACAAATTAACCTAGCATTCTTCACTGCTATGACCACAGTTTTCTTCACCGAGGTATAATAGTACGTAGCTTATAAACTTGCAAAATTTCGTTTGAAGAAGTGGAGTGGTTTTGTTTTGGGAAGTGGAAGTGGTAGCGAGGGCGCCGGCAAAAAAAAATCTTGCAGGTGCACGAAATTGAAAGCATAGAAATTGCGCTAACAGTTCAGAGAGAAAATAGCATATCGATTGAACTGGAACAATATTTTTCTGAAGAGGAGCTCGTTGAGCTAAGAGTTACCCTGCAAGGGATTGGGAATCACGGCACTTTCCAATACATCGCCGCATAATAGAATTTCTAATGAGTGATAGAAGTGATATCACTTTTGGATTGCTACCAGTATGTTATACTAGCCTCCTCTGCGAGGAGACGGATTCAAACAAGAGGCTTGGAGAGAAGAAGGCTATGAAATTAATAGTGCTGAAGCAGCGTCTACGAAGTAGTTGCCCTGTGGATGAGTAAAGTTATTCCCGTGGAATACGCATTGCAAACCTACCTTTGTTTCTTTTCGAAATTCCAGAGAAAGCGCGACTTTGTGCTATATTGGAAATCACAATCGAAAGGGCAGAAACTCTCATGACTTCTAAGGATCATACAGTCCCTCGAACAGGGAATGAATGAAAAACGCTTTGTTGTCGTTTCACTCGTGTTCCCATCATACAAATGAAAGATCTTGAGATCCTTTCTTTTCATGAAGCCAGAAATCAC